AACAACTATTTTTACTGTTCTAACTCAAAAATTTCAAAAATTTTTCTGATTTTATAGTGTTTTGTTTTCTCAAAAATCACGAAAGTTCGGTTTTTGGTTCCAAAATAGTTCCAACCACTTTCGAACTAGACTTAACCGGTTTTATCTATTATAGTAGTGCAGTTACGATATGTCACACTACTTTAATGCTTTTTTCCGTTTCAAAAAATATCGATATTTCAAAAATCGCGACTTGTGGGGGGATCAAAATATCGCTATTTTAACCCTAAAAACCGGTCTGCTTTCTGTGTTTTTCACTGAAAAACGGTATAAGAGTATTAATATAGGCTATATAAGTAATACTATTAGTAATACTATACCCCTCCGGGTTTGTTTAATATCCGAATTAAGGTGCTTAACTCGGATATTCGCAGTTCGGTGAAGGGTCACTACAGTGCAGCATTGTCGAGCCCCCCACAGATTACTATCTTACTTTTTGTACCAAAAGGGATACAAAACTTGTTAACGATACCCAACAGTCGATTGTTGTTGTCCTTGAGCCCCTTCTTGTTGCTCCTTGTACTGCTTGCCGGATCAGTCTTCTCCCAAGACCCTTCCGAATTGAGCGCAAATCAGCTGACCCTTCCGGATTGAGCGCAATTTATCATTAACGTGCTTAAATGCTCAAATAACCCTACAGTACAAGCCTCACAAATGGGCTACAAAATTGATCGTAACAATCCTGACTGATATAAATGCCTGTAACGACAATTTATTTATCAACAACAAACGGGAGGGTCAGATCACATCTTGTCTGGGGGGATGATTTCTACTGATTTTTTACCTTTTTACTGTTTTTGGTTTTTTCGGTTATTTTTTATGTTTTTTGTTTTTCTTGGGTACTATACTACTTTTTGTTTGGTTTTATATATATCTTTACGTGTTTTTGGTCACAAACCTCTCAGGGAACGAGGGAATGGCCGATCCCCCCACCCTTCCTGATTCGTGAATTTTCGGTCTTAACTAAGTTAAAAAGCTATTCACGGTAATCCGGAAGGCTTCCGCGTTCCGAACTACCCTTCCGCCCCGGCGGCTTAGGCCTAATAAGGGCGTTAATGTGAGCATCCGCTCGGCGCGGAGTGCTCCTTAACGGTTCTGCCGGTCATGATGTTAAAAAAGAATAACACCCAGGAGCGGCATAAAAACATCTATGTAACATTCGCCCGGAAGATACATATCGACGGAGAACAAAACTAAGTCCTAAGACGACTGGCTAACGTCTAAACAGAGCATTGCATGCTTTTCACCGTCTCTACCAAGCCAGTACTTTCGGTGGTCTTTGTAACATCGGGTCGATAAAAAACGTTACTGCTTTCGGCTTCGGTCAAAACACTCAAATTAACTTAATTACATGCAGAAATAGTGAGCTCATGACTGGGTCTCAGTATCCCCAGACCACGAGGTCACTCCTAAAAACAGGGCTACTACTACTTATTGAATTATTTTTGTTTTTGTTCAGTAGATAAAAATCATCATCTCCATCGAAGATGGATCAACCCCTTCCCCCAACTCCTAGCTTCTCATCTTAGTAGAATGAATTCGGATGTTAATTAAATTCAATTCAGGACATGACAGGGAAGCTAAAAGTTCATATAAAATGATAAAAGTTTCAGTCCCGAAATCCCTCCGGATTCTCGAAGCCACTGAATCAAGCACGTTAAGCTTGATTTCCCTGTAACCCGAAAGGCTGGTTTCCACCCCTCACTGTTGTTAGCAACTGCTTTGCAACTATTGTAGCGACACAATAGTTGCAACTTGGAGCGGTCTCTGCTACTTCTGCTTTTCTCTGATTCTGATTCTCAATTTTCTTGTTGTTGTCGTCGTCGCAACTATCGTTGTTGTGTTGCTTTTCAGTTTTTCTGCCAAAATGGCCGTTTTTGACATTTCTCAAAATTGTTACGTCATCACTTCGAAAATTTAAAACTTAGGAATTTCCAAATCCTTCAGCCTTCACAATTTGTCCAATCGTTCGAATAACGTTCTTATTCCTTCTAAATCGCCAATTCGGAAGGTTCGCTGCTAAAAACTCCGAGACTGTAGAGATTGCATTTTTTCCATTCTGGTCGAATGTCACACTTCTGGGCTACTGAGGACGGTACCGTTTTCATCCTTGATGACAATTTCTACTAGTTTTTCTGGTGGGGATGCTTGCATTCCTCTCTGCTTTTGCAAAGATTCGGACAGCGGTCGTTTTCTTGAGCTGATATAGGTAGCGCTGTCTGATGCTTCGTACTGTATAGCAATTGTTCGCCAATGTTTTTAATATTTTCCTGATCTATCGTGAAATCCAAAACAAGAAGGCAGGGTAAGCTGTTATCCGCCGTTATTAAAAACTCTTGGGCGAACTCTCCAGATTTTGATTTCTTTTGGATTTTGATGTCGACACTGCCATCAAGTTTCAATGCCAAATTGTTATCAGCTAACACTTTATAATTAAAATCTTTTATAGTTCATGGCTTTCCAAGTAATTCATACGTGTCGAAACTTATGAGCGAAATCCTACTCCCACTGTCTAACAGTCTTGTTACCATTTTCTTATTCAATAACAATTCCACATTGAAAGACTTCGTTTTGTTAGTGGAGCACACCTTGATTTCCTTGGCTTGTTCCGTGCTTTTATTCCAGGGCAATTTCGCTGAATGTGGGTAGAACTTCCACAAGTAAGACAATTACGGCAGTTTTTTGCCCAATGACCCTTTGCCCACATAGTCGAAATTTGTCAGAGATATATTTTTTTGGGATTATCATTTCTTTTGCGCATATTTGGTCCTGGGGTGGGAGTTCTTGCTCGATCTCTTGCACCTTGTTTCTTAAACCGGTTCCAATTGCGTTGCGTTCCTCCCAGTGGCTGTTGTCTCTTCAACCGCCACTGCTTCGGGCATTTTTTTCATTACGATTCGTTATTTGTTGAACTAAGCTGTTCACCGAGTCTAATAGGATTTCTGTGTCATCCCTCCGGATGGCTGCTATTCGTGGCGTTTATTCTTGCTCAAATCGAATTATGGCTCTCAGGTGAAGTGCCCACTCTAAAGCATTCGCGATGTTCATGACCGCGGAATATCACCGTTTTTTTACTGTAATTTCTTCGAAAAGCTTTCATCGTAGCTATTTCTAGTAGCCCCTGAGAGGGTACTGTAAAATTTGATTGCAGATTTTTGAAATCTTAACACGAAATGATTTGGCTGTTCATCAGTTTCGGTTGCACTTACAGTACGTTTCTTCAACCTTCTGTTAGATTCAGTCCAATTACTTCTTGCATTAAAAGATTATTTGACATATTACAACACAAATCAGCGGAAAAACTTCAAGATGGATATCTTTATTATCTAGTTTTCCTAGTTTTCTCTACTAAACGTGACTTTAACGTTTAATTGGTTTGTAATGTTTTCCTGACTTAATCGATTTTTCAAAAATTTCCAGAAAAAACTAATTTTATAAAATTTCTCAAATTTTGAAATTCTCGCCCTGTAAACGGGTGCTGTCAGGGTACTCTCAGGGGTTGCGGATCTTGTCTACAATTCTCAATTCTCAAATCCTTGTAGTTTTCGAGAAATGACGTTTTTATGATTTTTTCAAAAGTTTTGGAATTGTGAATTTTTTCTGGTTTTCAAAAAAGAAATACCTCTTACAGAAAACTTAAGGTGAAGTTTCTCTAAATCTGAATTTCCCAACGTTGTAGTTGGGTACTGTATGGGTTTTCTCAGGAGTTGCAAATCGTTCATCCAAATGCGACTGCTCAATTGCTTGCAGTTTCCCAGATGTGACGTTTCTTAGTTCATTATAAACTGAGATAGGTACTACTATAATAGAGTGGTCCCTGGAAAATAACCAGGTCCCTTGAGAATAAGACACCTAGCGCTCTCAAATCGTTTAATAATTATGATTGAGCCCTTCAGAAAGATGTCGCAGTACGTTTTTATAAATTTTATGTTTTGTTATCTTATAAAACCTCCCCCTAACCATTTTAAAGTTGAAAATCTAAAAAAAAACCGCCAATAGTGGGTTTTGATGTCAAATTAGTCAACCCAATCGTATGGTTGTTAAACCGGCTCTTTTCCAGCCCCCCCTTTTCAAAATACCGAGTTTTATGATTGTTTTACGTGTTATTACGGATAAATGCGTGATGTTACGCTGTAATGTATGAAGAACAAATTTGTTCACAGTTGTCGATTTGTTCACCACGCCAAATTGCATTGCATTTTTACAAGGTTAAATAAGTTTTTCAGATGTGAACTTTATAAAGGGGGGGGGGGGGGGAACTGGAAAAGAGCCGTTAAACCGTAAAATAAAGTAAAGCGAGCAAATTTCAATATATAAACAATAGTGATTACAATTTTCAATCTGAAAACTTTTTGGCTGAACATATTTTTTGCAAGATTTTTGAAATGAATAATTTATACACAAATTAGTTTTCAAAATTAACACATGCAATATGCATGCGGGACCTGTTATCATAGTTGCTTTTTCGAGGGACCACTCTATCATAGTAGTACCCTTAGATATGAAAAATTTGTCACAATTTGTTATGGTTTTTCAAAATTCGAATTAAAAAATCAAATGAAAAATGTTACAACATTTGAAGTTACTATCAGGAGTTGCAAATCTTGCGTCCAAATGTGACTGCTCAATTGCTTTCAGTTTTCCAGATGTGACGTTTCTGAGTTCATTTCAAATTTTTCGAAGAACATTTATAAAACTTAACAAAATTTTATGGTTCCTTAAAATTTGTATAGAAAACTTGAATTGGGTGCTGTCAGAGTTCACTCAAAGAATAGTTTTTTGAGTTGTTCAAAATTCGAAGCACCAGAAGTGCGGTACACACTAGTAAATATTAAAGGTATTGAATGAGGCAATGGAAACATTTAACATTTTCTTGAATTTGGGATTTGTGAATTACGAACAAAATGGTAGTTTAAGTTAAAATTGGCTAGTGTAAAAAGTTAAAAATCGGAACTTTTGTTTCTTTTCAATTTTCAAGGGTGGTCGAAACAAAAACAAAAAGCAAGGTCAATAATACTGTGAACACCAGCCTTGATTATACATTGAATTGTATTCGAAAACGTCGAACTCGTTATTAAAACGTATTACTGTGACATACTTGTTCTTATTTTCACCGAAAATTGACATGCTCTCATATTTGAAAACATATTTATCTTGCAGTTAAAGTGTTATTATTTTTGTTTTTTGATGGCCTGTAATATTTCAGTATGTGTAGTCATGCTTCAGATGTCTGCCAGGCTCTTGCTAATATCGTTGCTATGACAGCGTTACAAGCAATTGAATGCAAATCGTGTGGTGATCAAACAAATGTTTGGATTTGCACTGCTTGTTTTCACGTCGGTTGCTCTCGGTACATCAAAAATCATGCCCTAAACCACTTCAAAGAAACAAATCACAGTGTGTCGATATCTCCTGCGGACGCTTCTGTTTTTTGTTACGATTGCGATAAAGATCTTACGCTTTACGAGCAAAAGATAGTAGAATTGCAGAAGGCAATCGTTGTCAATCATGTTAACCGTATACAAGTTGTCATTATTGAATCAGGTTCTGACATCAGCGAGGAAAAAGCCAAAAACACTAAGCAGAACTTGGACGCTAATGATAATCCAGTTGAAGTTTTTCTAACTAGAACTTGTGGACTACGGAATCTGGGTAACACTTGTTACATGAACGCAGTTTTGCAATGTCTTGCTAATCTTTCTATATTCGCTCAATACATAGCCCAAGTAGCCGTCGATCCGACATGCTCAAACGAGAGCCGAACCAGCTCTGGCCGTAGTACGAGGTCGAGTAGACATGCAACACAAGTACCGGTAATTGCCGAGAGTCTATCATCGTTATTTCGAGCTATGAATTCTGAGAAATTGAGTCACTCACATAGTCCCGACTCGTTTCGAAATGCGTTCGCGAAATTGCACGATTCTTTTTGGGGTTTCCGGCAACAAGACGCTCATGAGTTCTTGCGAATTCTTTTGAGCCAACTCGAATCAGAGTTTCCTGTTTACCAGCCTCAATTAACAGACGTAATCAGCAAGTGTTTTGGAGGAAAATTGCAAAGTTTAGTCGTTTGCATTCAATGTGGATCTGAATATGAAAAAGTGGATTATTTTTATGATCTGTCGGTTGACATTCCCCAAGAGTTTTGGAGTAAACCCAAAGATCAAAGTTGTATGGAAGTATGTTCTATACAGGACTGTCTCTCAAAATTTTTCACATTAGAAAGTTTGACCGAGAACGAGTGGTTTTTCTGCGAAGGATGCAAATTAAAACAACCTTCAGCAAAGCAGTTTATGATCCTCAAAGAACCCGAGATTCTGTGTCTTCATATTAAACGGTTCAGACATGACAAAACTACTAGGTCGAAATTGAACAGTTTCATTCAGTTTCCCCTGAAGGGGTTAGATCTATCTCAGTACCTTGTGGAAAATGATAACGTTGAAATGTCTCCCTGTAAAAAGATGAAGAAAACGGCTTTGTACAATTTAAAATCACTCATTTTGCACCATGGTAGCAATTTATCTTCAGGACACTACACTTCATTTGTAAATATATCTCAGAAAGCGGTGCCAAATCAAATCTCTCAGAGTGTACAAGAAACTGAAAAATGGTTCCATTTTAATGATAGTACAGTGACCGAAGCTTCAGTAGACTCAGTCAAAAAATCTTCCGCTTATATCTTATTTTATTGTAAATCGTGAGCTTTTTTATTTCTCTCTCTCTAGCTTAATTTTTCATTTCTGTATTGTTTTGGCTTTTTGTACATGTTGATTAATTTAAGTTTCTAGCAATTCTTTTCCTTTGCGAGAACAATTTGAAATCGAGTTGCAACTTGAAATCGAGTTTGCCCCCCAAGAGTTATCGAAAAAGACGAATTTGTTCGTCTTTTTCTGAACACTGCAAACTCAGCAGGCAATGCCGCAATTTAAATTTTTTTTAAAAATTGTAAAAAAAAACAAATAAGAAATAAATTTGTTCAAAAAATTGTCGCCTGTGCAGCTTAAGTTTTAAGAAAGGCCAAATTGCACTAAATAATGGACAACACCAAAAGGGACGCTTGTGCGCTTAAAAAAAGAAAAAACATCGATTAAATTATAACTTAAACGAGGTTTGACAAATGACAGAGATTCTGTACCACATACAGGCGCGGTCTTGGTTTTTATCGAAATGAGGCGGCAAATTTTGAAAACAAAAAGTCGGTCGACCTTTTCAGGTACACCAAATTACTTTTGCGAGCTCATTCAAACTTATTTTTTCCAAATATTCTTTGAGGCGGGCAAATTTTAAAATGAACAGGCTAAAAGTGAACTTTTAGGGCCTTTTTTTAGACGGCTTTGAAATAAAAAAAACTTCTCATTTAAGCGCGCTGAAAATTATTGTACTAACAAGTGGTCAGGGAGTCAAAAGGGTGGTCCGCTTTGTCCACCCTTAAGTCGATACTTCAAAGACATCGAGCACTTGAAAAAAAAAAACAGGTTTTATTCACGTTTCATTCCATTACCAGGCGGGAAGGGGGGGATGTCGGATGGCTCTTTCTTAACATTCAACTTGTTAGATAGATCAAACATCATTCGATTTATCTGTGAGTTTATATATTTATAGCTAAACGAGCTGATTAAGCTGAAGTTTAATCTTACCCTCAAATTGTACAGGAAATTTAATAATTGAAACACCATTGAAATCGTCCAAAATTGTATCTGTAATTGGATGTTACAGATAATGCAATTATGAAGCTGCGGTTTATTCTGTTCATATTGAGTTCAATTATAGGTATATCAGTAGCAGTAGAATCCAACAGATACGATTAAATATGTCCGATACATGGATTATACCGGTACTTCTGCCGTATAGTCATGTAATATATTTTACGTCAGTCATTTAAACCAGTCGTTCAAGTATTTTGAACTATATAATTTTATTTCTTACCAATAACTAGGCGACTGTGCATATCATAACGAAACCCGGAATATTCTGAACTCCCAATTTGTTTAGTGAATTTTGTAATTTGAAAGCAAATTATAAAATTATCTTTGCGATAAGCAAAGGTATTGCAATCGGGTACTAGACTTTTTCCGTAAATAACTTTGTTGACAGGACTCATCTGAACTAATCTCTGGTGGTACCTTGGTTCATAATGAATTCAATTTTCTTAGTGTCCCTGCACACTTCGACTGGGACACAAAGGATTTGCTTTTTTTTCAAACGAAATTCCGTTTAAAAAAATTGTCTGCTTATCTTTTGTCGGGTTAGTTGCCACAACGTCTTTCATCTTTTTTCCGGCTTTTTTAGTCCGATTATTGAAAATGGGGAGGAACTTTGTATTCGGGTGTGTTTTGTTTTTTTCCACGCAAAATCAGGTACCTCATAAAATTGTCGGAATAGGTTGAGTGCTATATGTTAGCACTCAACGCAAAATCAGGTACCTTTCCACACAAAATCAGGTACCTCAAAAAATTGTCGGAATAGGTCGAGTTCTATATGTTAGCACTCTATTAAAGCCCTTTCTATCGCAAAAAGTTTTTCCACGCAAAATCTGGTACCTCATAAAATTGTCGGAATAGGTTGAGTGCTATATGTTAGCACTCAACGCAAAATCAGGTACCTTTCCACACAAAATCAGGTACCTCAAAAAATTGTCGGAATAGGTCGAGTGCTATATGTTAGCACTCTATTAAAGCCCTTTCAATCGCAAAAAGTTTTTCCACGCAAAATCTGGTACCTCAAAAAATCGTCGGAATAGGTTGATTGCTATATGTTAGCACTCTATTAAAGCCCTTTCAGTCGTGATTCAAAAATTGTACCGTGTCGAGAAAACGGTTTTAAAAATTTTAGATTTAGTCTAATTTCGAGCGAAAAAAGCAAGCGAGCAGTCTAACAATAGCTTATTTCTTAATCGAAGCTCATAAAACTTAGTTGGAGTTTTTTAAGCGCCATTTCGGGAATCAAAAATTCAAAAATATTGTTTTTTTTCGAGTTATTTCTCTACTTGTTGTCTAATCTGCCTATTTTAATATGACTGTTAAATAAGTAGTTAAGTAGTTTTTTTTCACGCAGAAAAAACACACTATTTTGAAAATTAATAATAGTTTTGTAACTTTTTTAGACTGATCGGAACATTCTGCGCTAATTGATTTTTTTGTTGCTCCGCTTGATATGTTTCGGCCTACATAAAAATTGGCTAAATGGCCTCATATTGCGTGTTGCGACGAGCGAAATTTTTTTTTAAACGTGTGTGTGTTTTGAGGGTGAGGGGAACTTAATAACTTCATTAGTCATATATATATTTTTTGATTTCTAAGGGCTTTTTAAACTTTTTCTGCCTAATAGGTTTCGGTTTATATTATATCGGCTTAGTGACTTCATACTGTTTCATTTGACGAGCAAATAAAGTTTTGTGTGTGCTTTGAGGGTGAGTGGGAATTATTAACTTTTTTTCGACTAATAAAGGTGATTTTTTTCTTCGATCTTTTTTGTTGCTTTTTTTCGGCTTAGAAGTTTTCTGCTCAGGTATTTTCGCCATTTTTACCGCTTAGTATTTTTTTAGATGTTAATTTTACATTCTGTTGTTTTCTGTTGACATCAGAATTACGTAAAAATTGCATACCAACAGTGGCAAACTGTTATTATGTTGCATAACAAAATTATTTCTTGGCTTGTCGGAATGGTAATCTTAGTTACGGATTGTTGGCCTTCCATCGTTCTAGCTACCTAGAATCCAGCAAATAAACAATTGGATCAAGTCAAAATCCTTTTCCCGCTCACTCTCCATAACAATACCAAGTTAAGATCCTCCACTTTAGCGTTTAAATTAAAATTAATTTGCTAAGTGCTGCGTGTAAAGTTCTCAATTCTGATTGGCTGGAAATTCGATTTTAACCAAGTTAACATCCTCCCCTCCAAACGGCTTTTGGGGGATGTTAACTTGTTGTAACTAATTACCTAAATGAATTTGAAAAAAAAACACAGCTGAAGTCTCGCATGTGTCTCTTTGAGGAATCGTTTGTTACTCTTCTCTTATTCGAAAAAGCATAAAATGATTTTTTTTGTATAGTGATCAATACGAATAGTGCGCACGAAATGGTCTGAAAAAAATTAAATTAAGTTGAATAGTTGCGGCGGAAAAGAACGAAAGTGACAGATAGGTTGAAGTTAGTGAGTTCGACATTTATTTTGCCTTTGGACTTGAAATGTTAGCAAAAACAACGAACTCATCTCTGTGCTCATCTCAAACAACGAACTCATCTCTGTGCTCATCTCTGAAAAGAAATCAAGAACTATTTCAGACAAAAAAACTGGTTAATTTCTCATTCTTAGGCATCACTGCAGCGAATATTTTCTATTCATAAGAAAATCTAGTGCCACCCTACTTGAAACTAAGAAATGAAGAGACAAAATACAAATATGAAACAAGATTACCGGTTGTGGTGCAAGTAGCACGGAAAGTTCTGATCACTATCTTTAAAAAATGTTTTCAAACAATAGTTTTTTTTCGTGGTTTAATGAAAGGATCGGAACGAAAGCCTGGAGCCGAAGCAAATTTGATAATATAAAAACTAATAAAAAACTGTTTTTATTCGTGGTCTAATGAGAAGATCTGTACGGAGGCCTGGAGTCTAAGCATGTTTGATAATATAAAAACTATTAGAAACAAAGATAGCCGGTTACTGTGCAACTAGCACAGAATTTTCCGACCATAGTCTTAAAAAAAACAAAAGTTTTCACAAATTTTTGCCGTTGTTTTGATAGTCGTGGTGTGATAAAAGTGGGGAATAACAAAAAACTGGGGATTATTTATATTCAAAGGCCATACTAAAACAAAAAAAATGAAAAACATTTTGTGTAGAAAATTTACTAGCAAAACGAAAAAACAATTTTAAGAAATCGTCGAAAATTTTTTCAAGTGTTTTGCATTTTTTGGACTTTTGAAAAATTTGAATCCAAAAAGGCGCTAAACTACTCAAAGTAAATTAACGCCCCAATTAAAACTAAAATTTAAGCTTTTAAGTTAAGCTAATATAGTCTTTTAAGCAATTAAAATCAGTTTGCTGGGTCGCTTTATTCGCTCGAAATGAAAATTTTGAGTGATGAAAACACACCCAAATACAAAATTTCTCCCCAATTTCAATGGTCGGAACAAAACACAGTTTTTAATTCGTGCGCAATGAAAGGATCTGAACGAAGGCCTGAAACCGAAGCATGTTTGATAATATAAAAGTATATTAAAAAACTGTTTTTTATTTGTGGTGTAATGAAATGATCTGAACAAAGGCCTGTAGCCTAGGCATATTTGATAGTAACATATAAAAGGTCTATTCGACAACACGTTTCCTCGAAACATTAAACAAAAATAATATGAATAATAAGAATTAGACTATTGTATACCTGCTGATTTGCTTTATTTGCTCGAAGTTAGACTAAAAATCAAATTTTTCAGTCTGATTTTTCTTGACAAAAAAATTTTAGGAATTTTTAATGGCGTTTCGAGTCACAAATGAAACGGTTTGTAAATGATAAACCACTTAATTAATTCGGATGGTTTTATGTGGTACCTGAGTTTGCGTGGAAAAAAAGTTCAAAAAAAAACAACCAAAGGTAAACTTCTTCCCCACTTTCAATTGTCAGAACAAAAACACGAAGCGAAAACTCAACGAAAGATTAACAAAATACTGCTGGTAGTAAAAAATCCCTTAGCTGAGTGACCGAGAATAGTCTAAAATAACCGCGAATGTGAAGACTTTCGAAAACAAATTGGAACAGAAATTAAAAAAGCAATTAATATTTCCAGACAGGAAAAAATAATTATTTGCAAAAACCTTCTGAAACCGGACTAATTTTCAAATGTTTTAAGCTTCTTAAGTCTTATGTTTTGTTTTCTAATAATTCGAAATTACATCAAGTCTTCTCCTTTATCCAATATTCTCTCTTAAAGAACTGGAAATTGATTTCAAGGAAAATTCAGTCAAAACTTGCTAAAATTATTCGAGATATATTGAAGGGCAATATCAGTGCCCTGATACGAGCAGTCATCTGTTATTTTTTTTCGTTAAATGAAAAAACTCTGAAAAAACTTTGCATACATATTACAAGGTCGCAGAGTTTAATAAGTTAGTACAACAAGCGCCAAACAAATAGATCCACTAATTTCATCCAGCATTTATTTAACCCAAGAGTATTGACGTTATCAACAACGTTAGCATTAGGTTTTTGGTCAAAAATTATTTAGTTCATTATTCGGCAGCCTGAAAATGAGCAGCAGTAAATCCAGTAATGTTGAGTGTGTCGGCAAACAAGACTGGACTTCAGAATACAACCATATAGACTGCACCAGATACTACAGAGAGGTTAGTCCGGCCACCATCGAAAATATCTGGGAAATCATTATTGGAGCAAAATGTCAGATCATACCAAATGGGATCAAGACAGTTTAGATATGCTGAAATTCAGGCGGTTCAGTTGAAGCAAGAGTCCTACAAAAACGAGTTTTTTGCTTTTACGTTAACAAAGAGCAATTGCATAAAAAAAAAGATGAAAATCAGAGCTGAATTTCTCATTATTGTTTTCACTCCTATAGCAAAAACGGGAAACTCGTTACATTCCGAGTTATGTTCCAAATGGCTCGACTCATTTTTAGCATATCTAAACTGCCTTGATCTCAATCGGTATGATCTGATATTCTCCATTGATAAAAACCGTATTCGATAAAACTTGGATAAGTTTTCGGCCGACACGAATAAATGTGTACTTGTCTAGTCGATCAGGGCGAGAAAAATCTTTTCGATTGTGGTCGATGTTACTCCGATATAATTCAACCAGTTAAACAGTTCAGTTTTGTCAAATTTTCTTTTTCCGCCAACAAAAGATTGAAAATTAGACCGAGCGAAATCGAAGCATATCAGCCCAACATGTTTCGTGGATTGCAGTTATAAAAAAAAATCGAACAAAAACTAAAGATGTGTAATCGAGTTGTGTGTTTCGTTCGGTGATCTAAATTTTTTGCGAGTTGCTATGGCGTACCCCTTTTTTCTGCAAGATAAATGTATATAGACGTCAAAGATTCAATTAGTACATTTTGATTATCAAGGTGGTCGATAGCGTTTTTGGAAAGAATTTTTTCTCCGAGAGAGACATATATAGATGACAAAGTTGTAATAAGTAATTTTTGAGTTTTAAGGGAATATACCTTGTTGATGTGGACGAAAAAAAAATTTAATTCTTTGCAGCAATGGGCAATTCTTGTAACTAAAAAGTACAGCAAATGAAAATATTTTAAAATTTCTGGTCCATTTTTTGCGTAATTAAATGCCTGATTTCGAAATAAGGTGAACGTTTGGCTAAAATCAAACCTAATTTTTATTGGACAAATAGTGAAAACAACCAAAAAACTATGTTTTAAGGAAAAAAATTACGAACGTTTTTACGAAAAAGTATCCGCAGTACTAAATTCGGCAGGAATTTGTTTTGCTTTAAATTAAGTCCTTTAAGTACAGCTGGAAATCAAAAGATAGTGCAAAAGTATGCTGTTGACTACGCTTGCGATTAGCAAGCGTTATCGAACTAGAACAAAGAGTTTTTTGGGATTACATCTTGTTTAACACAATCACTTGTATCGTGGTTCATAATTAATTCCAACTTCCATGCGTTCCTGTCCAGCTTAGCCTGGAGGAAACGAATATGCCTGGGGTGGTGAAGGTCCTCAGTTTGAATCTGACCAGGGCCTGTTTTTTTAAACGGGAAATATTCTGTTTCAAAAAATTGTTGGCCGATTATTTGTCTGCTCATCTATTGTCGGCTTAGTTGTCACTGTTTGGATTCGTTTTTTTTGTTGCGCGCATTTTTTGTTAATGTTGCTTTAAGTGTTTGACTTACTCTACATTTTGCGATTTTCCTTACCATGACTTCGTGTTTTTTTTTGTTTCGCTAAAAAAATTCCTCTGCCCAAATTATTTCGGCCTATTTTTTGTTGGCTTAATGTCATAGTTGTGGCTCGTATCAAGGGAAACACAATTTAAACACTACCCAAACACCACCCTCCTCAGTTTTTCCAGCGAAATGTTGTCTCCGTGGGAAAATTGATTTCCTCAAAACTTTGTGATGTGATAGCGAGTTCTTTGTCTGTGTGACAAATTCAGTTACAAGTTCGGTTAAAACTTCGAATTAGCCCAATCATCATGCATGATTCAAAACTTTAGCGCTCCTAAAATTGTTTGCTATTTTCTGACAACAGACCAGGAGATGATTGGGCAAACAAATTTAAAAAAAATATGTGGTATCAATATAATCATATTTTTAAATATTATTATATACAGAGGCCAAGCGGAGCTTCGTATCACTTGTGAAACAAAAATGAAAGACTATGAATACCAGCAAAACAAATCAAAAATTCGAAAAAAATCTTCAAAAAAACCGTTTCATAACGACAATTGTAAAAAAGACAAAAAGTTTCTGTAACAAAACTATCTGCACCATTAGAAACTTTACAATGAGCTTTCAAAATGCTAAAAAGAAACAAAAATGTTCTGCGGAATTTAAGCCGACAAAAATTAGCAGACACGAAAAACTAAAATATTCAAACATATACGAAAATATACAAAAAACAGGTCCTGACTGGATTCGAACGATTGAACGCTGTCTTTATAGGTAGGTGCAATAAATCTTTGCCACATGTTGCAAGTGATTCTATTAAGTTAGTTGTTAACCCAAAAAAGTCTATATTCAGGTTTGATAAGGTTTGCTAATCGCAAACGTAAACATGGATTTATTTTTAAACTGTATTATGATTCTGATTATTCAGTATCAGAAGCTTAATCGAGTAGTGTTTATTATATTTCGGTACAGTACATTTTTGGCCAGAAAGTTTTCTTTCATTACGTGGTTTCTTGTTTGTTACCACACTGGTTTTTGCACGCGCGCTTCCTATCTCTTTCTTTCTCTATCTCTCCCAGTGTTCCGACTTTCAAAGAAAGTGACAAAATATTTGTGCTCGGGTGGTATTTTTTCCACACAAGTTTCGACTTTTGAATTAACAATTTTTAGCAAAGTTTTTAACAACATTCGAGAGGTATTGTGTTCTTGAGCTCAAATTTAAAAGTACATAATTCATCTGTGATCAATTTTCTTAATAGTGCTTACGGATTCTTATTTAATGGGGTTTATCTCTAATTATAATCAAATACTCGACCTAAATCAAGACTTATATTTAAACATTATATGGACTAACCGTACAAAATGAGTAATATATCAATTCTACAAATATATATCTGAAGCCAGTGGCTTTATCACTTAATTAACAGGGTTTTTATCGAGCATCTTAAAACGTATTTTGCAGTTAGTGAAAAAAAATGGAAAGTTCCAAAATACAACTTTGCAGTTGTGTATGAAGTGAATATTAAATACAATATAAGTTTTGAACATTAAATCCTGCTTGAGGAGACTGAGCGATGGGTCGGTCCTATTATATCGGATTTTTTAGACGAGACGTGAAGTCTAATTAAAACAAGGATTTCGGTTGGTGTGAAAAATATTCCTAGTGATGTGAACAATGCTAACTAGGGGCGGATCTAGGATTTTTTCGAGGGGGATTTTCAAAAAATTGCAGAAAATTTTGCCGACTACTTTTTATTAGGTCGACCAAATTTATTTTCCGACGAGCTCTACCAAGTTCAACCTCTAACCCTGTTTTGTCCAAATAGTTTGCGCTGCGGGCGAATTTTCGAAATTTAGCCCAAAAAAAGCCTTTTAAGGCACTTTTAGACAGTTTTGACAAAAAAAGTCGTGTTTTTTTTGGCACGCGCTCCCCACTCAAAGTTAGTATATATTGGCGCCGAAGATAAAATTTAGAAATATCTAAGGTCAGCCAGCCAAAAATGGAAGTCTTAAAATAGTACCAAAGGTAGGTAGTCGGGGTTCGAATCGCTTTGAGTAGTTAGCGGGTCCAATAGCTGAGGGGTCCAATTTCTCTAATGATCTTAACAACTCTGATCGCTGGAGCAAAGATCCTTTGAGCCAACTGAACGATTTGCTCTCTAAACTGATTTAGCAACAAAATTGTTTACTTTGTTCAAGATTTAGAAAAACAATTTAAAAAAGAAGAGTCTCGTGCTCTGTAAATTTGTCTTACAGTCTGTCTACTAATAAATCAAGACATACAACTTAATTTTTTTAGCTTATGGACAAAGGGCAGATTGTGGAGCGGTGTGAGATAGTAGCCAAGTACACTGAGAGATGCCTGCTGCCCTTGTTTCAAAAGTGGGCCATAGATCTCGAGAAACCCCTCAAGTTCCTGGATGTTCTCTGTTGCTATGGAAACGATACCCTGGCATACACCAATGCTTACTACCAAGAGGTCAGCGCTTCTAATTGTTTCAGACCATTAGGAGGGGATTTATGGCCCCCTTCCGGGTATCGACCCCACCTATGCCAAAAGCAACCCCCCCCCCCCCCTTGTTGCTATTTCACGACTTGCAGCTTCATCGGACTGACACTTTTTTAAAATCCTGTCCAAAAGAATCCTAGATCCGTAGCGGATTACAGTTATTATTTGAAAATGTATGGTTTAAATTATTAATCTAGGTAAAATTTGGCTGAATTTCATTAGTTTCGAAGTTTTTTCAGGATTACGCGAAAACTTGGGCCTCAGAAGAAACCTGTTATCAAATTATTAAGCCCAGACAATTTCCAGTCAAAACGCTGGGCATCGACATTAGCGTACCGGCACTCGAATTTGGAAAGAAAGCTGGAATATACGACGAAATAAAAACTTTGGATCTCAACAACTTGCCCGATATGGATATCAATTTTTTGGAAGAAAATTGCAAACGAGCCAACATTTTAATAATGAACTCTCTCAATTATATCAAAGAAGATCAAATTCATCGAATAATTGACTGGTTTTCCGGCGGAAAAGAGCCAGGAATGATTGCAGTTGGGTTCATTTATCCTTATGACATACCAGAGCGAATAAGTCGATACAAAGAGCATTTACTGGAAAAACTCAAATTTTTTGGATCAGTCTCGATGATGAACAGATATCTCCGAGAAGCAGAGGCTCTGAGCTTTGGACCGGAATTCGGAACATGGCGTCGAGTCTACTATGAAATTTGGTACCTGACAAGAAACGAATAGATTAAGTTTACGACAACAGAAAGCAATCTTATAACTGGGTCAAACAAATCGAACTGTTTTTGATTTCAAAATTGGTCATTCAATAAATTCAATAAATGAGAAGCTATTCTTAGGAAAAACTTGATATCTATTCGGTGAGATTTGTTAAATCAGAAACAAAATTTTCAACAATATTTCTTTAATAGAATAATGAAAAAAAACAAGGATAGCCAGTTACTGTGCAAGTAGCACCGAATGTTCCGACCATAGTCTTTAGAAAATTACAGTTTAGAAAATTTTTTTCCAAATTAGTGTAGTTTTTTCTGCTTCGTGTGATAAAAAGATGTCGTAAAAATTTAATTTCGGCATATTAGACAGTCATAGTAACATGGGCAAATTGGAAAAATTTTATGTAGAAAAATGACTAGAAAATCTAAAAAAAAAGGTTTTTTCAAATTTTTTAATTTTTTTATTTTTGGACTTCTTGATTCCCAAAATAAAGCTTAAAACTCTAAAAACTAGATTTAATTGCCTTAAATTAAGTTTTAAGGTCTTATTTTAGGCAGATTTGAAGATTTCAGCTATTGTAAGCCTGCTCGCCGGTTTTTCTCGACACTGCCAAAAAAAAATTGGGAATGTGGTTCGAATCACGACAAACAGCTTCAGTATGATAAATCACTTAACCACCCAGTCTGATCATTATTTGTGGTACCTCATTTTTGCGAGGAAAACAAAAAAACTAAACCACATCCGAATACAAAACTCATCCCCATTTTCAATGGTGGGAACAAAAAACTAATTGAGGACTAATCACAAGAAAGTTTTTTGTTCCGACCATTTGAAAAATGGGGATGAACTTGGGGTGCATTCGGTTGTCTTTTTCTTTTTGTTTTCCACGCAAAATCAGGTACCGCAAATAATCATCGGACTGAGTTGATTGATATATCATATTAAAGCCCTTTCAGTCGTGATTCGAATCACAAGACTGTCTAATATGCCTAAATTATATTTTTACATCAGATCCTCTTATCACACCTGGCAGAAAAAACTACACTAGCTTGGAAAAATTTTCTAAAGACTATGGTCGGAACATTCTGTGCTACTTGCACCGTAATTGGCTATCCTTGTTTGCATGTCATACAAACAAAATAACAAAATTAGTTTTTTGTTCCGACGATGATTTTATGTTTTTGTTTCGTGCAAAACGAGGCCTAAAAACCATCCGACTAGGTTCCCTAGTTGACCAAAAATGATTATCATACAATTTTCATATATGGAAACTGTACGGCAAGCATTTTTTATTCAAAAAAAGTTAAAGCCAGTTTTTTCCATCAGCAGTCTGTTCAACTGTGCTCAAAAAGCCGCAGAAATCATTTAAAATTTTTTTCAATTGTTTTTAAAAATGTATGAAAATTGTATGATAATCAATTTCTCCATAGACTTGATGTATGGAATTGTATGATAAGAACTTTTGTTATATGGAATTGTATGATAAGCATTTTCATACAATTCCATAGTTGGTGTATGGAGGTCAACCCGGGTTGAGAGTTTTTCAAAATCAAATTCTTTCACTTCTGATTGCAGCTGTTTAAAATATTTAAAAAAATTAGACCTCTGTCGAGATAACAACATTGAAAAGTTTCGCTTTGTAGTAAAATTTCAGTAAAAACTTAGTTTCAACAATCAGATTTACTTCGACCTGTTCGTGAAATGATCAGTTGATAACTAGTTCATTAAACTCAATTGAGTTGGGACGTATGTCTAACTCATAGATTAATTTCAGATAAAGTACACCGTCTGCTCGTCACGCTATCTTATTTTCGGCCGGATAGATTCGTGCAACTTCTTAGTCTAATACCAATCTTAATCTTTTTCGTATATCTCTATGTCTCAATAGATCTAGTGTATACTGGTTTGTTACGAGTTGGTCTCTTGGAAAAGGCAACTAAGTTGTAGGTTAAATTCAGAATGCTCTGGTGCTGAAATTACAAGTAATTTCAGCACTTACAAATAAATGGGTTGTTAATTAGATGGAGTATGATTGGTTAGTCTTCAAAATTTTATAGGGATAAAATATCTAATTTATAACCAAAAATAATATATAGTTTAGATCAGGTTCCACCCATCCGGGTTTTACAGAGTTTTTTAGAATTATCTTTCTGCAATTTAAAGGATGGATGATGAACGTTGGTATTTGGCGAACATCATACTCTTGTCCGGTTCTTCTTGTTGAAGAAGTTCCAGGACGCTGGAGTTAGGGATATCAATCGTTGTGTCGTCTTGTGACAACGACTGTGTTCCCCAATGAAATCAATCTGATTTCAAAATGGTTTGCTATGACGGGTTTTTCTGTATTATGTAGAGAACTTGTTTTGTGTTCAACCTCGTCTGGGAATGGCGTGGAGATCGTGTGTGGAAGGGATGCCTCGTAACTCGGATCTGTACGTATACTTGAACATCGAGGTGGTCATTGGTCTGTTTCAATGAAGTCCTTTTCTTCGGAATCAAGTCGTACTTCAAATCCTTTAAGTTGTGGTTGTGAGCGGCATATCGGTTGTGTTCAGCCATTCTGTGGGTTGTGTGTGATGAGGTCGTCTTAGCTGCTTGATGCTCAGTTATTTTAAAAGTTATTTTAAAGTTGTTGTTACTTTAGTTATTTTAAAAGAGTTACTCACACTTGAGTATCTCTTATCAAAAATAAGGAGTGTGTCACAAAGCGTGTGTTCTAGCGCGGTAGGTTAGGCCGGCTATTAGGCATGCTCAGGACGTCGTCCTCTTCTGGTGGGTTAGGCCAGGAGTGAGGGTATGATTTCATGCTGGTTTTTTATGGGGTCCTGTTTTGTGTTAACCTTTTGTGTCGTGTTTGTTTCTGGTTTTTTCCTTTTGTTGTTTTAGTTGTGTCCTTTTCTCAAAAATCAAATTGTTTGGTTTGGGTTTGTCTTTCGACTTTTTGGTGTTTTATGCTTTCTTTTTTAGACTTATCAATAGTCTTCAAAAGAATAGATTATCCAGTTTTAAACTGGGTTAATCCGGTTTGGGTACCGTTGGTTTTCTTTTCTTAGTCATGCTGTTGTTTTATGATTTATGGTGTTTAGTAAGCTGCGTTTGATAGTTGGGATTATTATATAATTCCTTTCCAACCGGGTTAAAAGAAAGTTTGAAACTTGTAATTATTAGTTTGAGTTGTTATTAGTGAAAGTTAAAACTTGAAATCAATATTTTAAACAATTCGTTGTGGGCGAGCTGTGCGAGTGTGGATAGAATTTGTGTACGAATGATTCTTTAAAAGCTTAGAACTGCTGACATTTGTAGATGTTTACTGCTAAAAATTCTAATTTTACTGCTTTGTGGGGATTGAAATTATAAAGTTATTTTCAGTGTATTTAGATTTACTACATTGGGGAAAACAATTTATAGATGAATTTACTGCTGTGAAGAATCAATTTTACTGCGTCAATTATTGCGGTTAGTTAAGAAAAAAGTTTGCTATTTAAAAAAGTTTATAATGTATAAAAGAGTTTGCAATTGTTATTTCTGTTTTCTGTTTTCTTGTTTGTAGATGATGGTGATCTAAAGACTAATAATAAAGAAACATTTAATAAGAAATGGTTAGTTCGTTTTGAATTTATTAGTGTTATATTATTTAGTTCATACTTACCTAATTATCGGGGAAGAAACCGTGAGGGAAGATATCGTGTATTGAATCTGATGTGGTTAGTAATTTTCCTAATATGCGAATGATGTTTTTAGTTTCAAGTAGTGGCCAAAGCAATTGAAGTGCTTTTATGGTGTTTAGTTCTTCAGTGCCAACGAAAAACTCGTGATTGGTGTGCTCGATGAGGTTAAAAAGTTTGTGATTATGTTTAGTATTGTGAATGAATTCTAATATTGGGATTTCTATAGGTTGAATATATTCATGCGGGACAATAAGTGGTCGGGATTCTTCTAGATTAAAGGTCTTATTGAGTTGACAAAATATATACATTTGGGTTATAGGGTCATAATTTCTGAGGATTCCTTGGAAATTAGTGTCTTTAATACAGTATGGGAAATTCAAGAAAAATGGTGAAGTGTACTTTGAATTAATAAACTGAAAACGATGGTGGGGTTGTCGTGAAGGTGTGTGTAAATTAAAATGATTTTGAATGAATCTATAATATGTGTAAGTATGCGTTTGTTTAGTTCGTAACATGATGCCGTGTGAACAGTGCAAAGTTCGTTGTTTTGGAGTGAGGAAGTGAAAGGTTAGTGAAAAAGTTTGAAGTTTATCGTAAAATGTTTCATAAGCTTGGATGTCGATTAGTGCTTCGGAAATCATGTGGTCGTGTTTTTTATCTAGTCAGCTTAGTGTAAAGATGTAGGGTGTTTGGATGAAACGTTTTTCGGTTAGTTGTGTCTTAGCGAACTTATCTTCGTCTAGAAATTGATCTTGATTAGGTCTGATGATGTTGTGATCATAGTATTCAATAGAATAATCATTAGCTCGTGGTGCAGTTAAAATTATTAGTAGTTTTTTATATCCTAGATGCGTAAATCGTCTAGGTGTTAGTGTTGCGGTTAGTCTAAAAAGGTCAAGTTTACTTTTTTCTATTTCGTGAGGTGTGTTATTTAGTGGTATACAAAGTGGATTTGAAAAATAATAAAATGATGTCCAGTGAAATGTAGGGATTAGTACATGCTCATCGACATTGTAGCGTTGTTCAGTGTGAGGGTTGGAATGACTAATGGTATATTGGGGAAAGAGGGGTAGGGAATTTTGGAGAAAGTCTGGAGTATTAGTGTGGTCAGGGTGGTTGACATAATCGCGGGTTGTTCCGGGTTTGGAGGGGGAACGTGTGGCTAGGAAATTTTCTTTTGAATGTTCTATATGCATGGTTAGTAGTGGATGATGAATGGGTTGATGTTGAGGATTGATCTAAAGAAGGGGTACAACTTGAAGAGGATGTAGGAGTAGTTGGATTTGATGATGTTATGTTTGATGATAACTGGTGAATGGTTAGAGTGTGAGGATGTTGTATTTGTTGTTGAAGTGTAATTAGATTATCTAGTTCTTGTGAAATTTGTGTGGTTTCTGGGGAATTGTTGTTGGAATGGTCATTGGTAAAGGGGAGTATGTCGGGGTTGCTTGGGAAATATGAGACATAGTAGAGGA